TTGCCGAGTTTTGGCACTGGTATCACATATAGTAGCAATACTTTTACGCCAACTTTATCAAAGTCCACTAATTTCTTGGTAGTCGACAAAGCGCCATCGAGTTCAACATTCGCACCGATTAATCCTAGCACTGCGGCTGAAGGAAAAATTGAGACGAATAAAATCTTTACTGCAAGTGCTATCATTAGTTCGCCCAGTACCGGGAATACTCAAACTACTCCTACTTTTGCTTTCGGTAGCAACAAACCCGCCTTATCTCTTGTGACGCCCACTCAAGTAGCTGTATCAACCTTGCCGTCCCAATCACCCGGGACGACATTATTGCCGGTCAATACTACTGCAACTAGCATCGCCGGTTTTAACAACGTTGTAAGCAATAGCACATCGAGTAGCGTTACAACATCCGCGATCGCACCTTTATTCAGTTTCGGAAGTAATAATACCGCTTTGCAACCTGCAAAGTCGGATAACTTCATGTTTAATCAGCCTAGCAGTAACGTTCAACCGAAAATGAACGCTTTTGGAAGTCTTGCAAACAGTGGAGCAACATCATTGTCGCAAGTTACGACTAACTCTTTCAATTTCACGCCCAACACTTCGATAACAACCGTCGCAAATAATTCGTTTACCGCGAACACCACGACTGCCGCAGCATCGACATTCGGACCGTTGAGCGCGTCGACGTTCTCGTTGGGCACGACGTCCGCTACTTCCTTGACACCTATCTATCTTTTTGGCGCTTCCAATACTTCAAGCACGACGTCCTTGGCTCTACCAGCTACAATTGTTAACAATACGAGCAGCTTGAACGCGATAAGCAACAATGCGATTCCCGCATTTGGAGCGTCCACCACTACCACCGTTCCACAATTTGGTACGCCTACGACCACAGTTTCACAATTTGGAACACCTACGACCACAGCAACGCAATTTGGAACACCTACGACCACAGTATCGCAATTTGGAACACCTACGACCGCCGTTCCACAATTCGGCGCACCCACCACATCCATTTTCGCCACTACGTCAAATACGACGACAAGCGCGAACATATTTGGAGCAAGCAACAACAGTCAGCCACTTTTCGGAGCTGCGCCAGCCTCCAAAACAACGTCAGAAACCGCTGGTATATTTAACAGCCCAACAACCATGGCTCCTTCGATTTTCGTCTCGACGACCAACGTTGTGTCGACGTCCGGCAGCACGCCTAGCTCCAGTTTGTTCTCCAATGCTAACGCTAATTCGATTCCGACTACCGCGGCACCTTCGGTATTTGGTAGCGGCACCCCGGCTTTCGGCCAGACGAAGCCTTCGACGTCTTTCGGAACGGCGAGCGGCATGTTCGGCAGCACGACGGCTGCACCGTTATTCGGCTCGACCACGCAAACCGGCAACACGACCGCTCCCGCGTTTGGCATCCCCGGCAACGTCTCCACCACTTCCGGCTTCGACACCACCAACAACACGACGCCCGCGTTCGGGACACCTGGCGTAGGGACGGCGACGAACGTGCAGGCGGCACCGGCTTTCGGCGGTACAACCGGGATATTCGGCGCGACCGATAATAACGCACCGTCAGTTCCCATATTCGGAGCGAGCGCTACTCCGGCTACTGAAGCCTTCGGCATCTCCTCGCCACCGAGCACTTTCGGCGCGCAAAATCCTCCGAGCATCGCGTTCGGTGCCGCTAGCGGCGGCACTACGTTCGGCGACAACAAATCTCTATTCGGAGCGACGCCGGCGACCGGCACGAGCTTCGGCACGTCCAATCCGCCTGTTCCGGCTTTCGGGGCTGGTAACGCTAATAACGCGAGCGGTAGTACAAATAATATGTTCGTCTTCGGGAACGCTCCGAAAGACGGCCAACAGAACCCGACGTTTCCCTTCGGATCCAACTTTAACGCTGGAAGCAACAATCCCCCGGCCGCAGCGCCCGTCCCGTTCCAGTTTGGATCCTCAGCTTCCAAACCTCCAGGTAATCAGGACTAAATTGTTTTAACATTGGCGTGATTGTAATCATTAAAAATTTAAGTTGCGCTAAAAGCATCAAACTTTAGATATAATACAAAAACCTAAATATTTGTGAAACACGATCGCGCAATCTTTTACTACTTTAGAAACTCTGATTGGATTATACTAATTGCATTTGCATCCTTCTGTTTTCCAGCACCAACGGGATTCAACTTCCCCACACCGTCGGCGCCTGCTACCATCAATTTCGGAACCACGACCGCGCCGCCGCCCTTCAATCCCTCGACGCCCGGCATGTTCAGCATCGGAAGCGGATCTACCGCGCCGCGATCTAGACCAATTCGCACGCGGAAACCGAGATGATGGAGAATGTAAATGCCGCCTGTCCGAGTGCATATTTTCGTTGAAATATATATTTCAAGTGTTTATTCAATTACATTGTTTTATATATGGAGGGGTAA